CCTCCTAATCAATATTTACATATTCTAAGGAAAGGACCTATTTTGGAAATCAAGTAATTGATAAAATGCCCCGTTTCCCTGGGTAAACATTAAGTGGAATCAGGAATAACTTAGCCTGAACTACTCTCTGGTGAAACACACCCTGAGCCCAGGGTGCTATCCTTGCCCGGCCTCTAAACTTCAACCTGGGATGCTCCAACCGCAGCTCCGCTCTCCATCTCTGATGCTGTGCTTCAGCTATTGGCTCCTCACCAAATCTATACGTTTCTAGGTCCAACTCCCTACAAACCCTTCTTTCCAAAAAGCAAGCAAAACCCCACCACCAGAAACAACAACAACAACAAACCACTTAAGACGTGGTTTTAATAATTATTGTGGTTACTGTGACTGGAAACAATTAGTTCAAAGGCGCGTGTAGTTAAACTTCCTGACCCAGAGTCCTGCCCCCCAGCCCTCCCCAGCTCTATCATTCCAGTGGATGAAGAGAAATTCAGGGACCATAAAATCAGCTTTATTGCATTAGCTCTTGTTTCACAGGTTATAGTGATTCTATAGATGGAGAAAGAGAAAGGAAATAGGGATACATACGAAAATACAAAGGGGTTTGATGAATAGAGGTAATCTTGCCTAGGAAGTTAAGTACGTATTAAAACCCACAGCCATGGTATTTCCCATCTCAGTGGTGACAGAGACAGAGCCATGTAAGGTCAGTCAGTGTAAGGCTTCCAACACACACCAGCCTTCAGAAACACTAGGCACAATTCTGCCAAATCAAAACCAATGCTAGTTAAAAACAAAAACAAAAAAACCCCAAAAACCCAAGGCCAATAGGGCTGCTCATTGGAGAGATCAGGCAAGTAGCAAGAGAGGAAAAAAGGTATGATTGGGATTTGGGTAGCCATATCCTCAGGGATTCCGAGAACTAAGCTTATAAAATCTGAATCTGTTTGGGATTTCCATCCTTGTGATGAAGTGGGATCTTGGAGTGGATCCTTCTGGATTGGAGAGTCTGTTCATCAAAGAACTCTTTTTTATCTGAACAATTCCATGACACCCTACAGAAATAACTCCTCAAAAAATAGATGCCTCTTGGCTGTCATCCCGCCTCCCTCCACTGCTTAATCCTGTGTCAGCTGACAGACTCAGCTTCCTTTTGTGAGCTGGAGTTTGTTTTTGTAGAAAAGCCCCCGACACAGTCATGCTTCCTGTAATGATGTGGTTTAAGGCAACATCCCTGTTCCTCCCGCAGGCCCTCGGATGGGAGACAATCCTTCCTTCAATCTGCACGCCACTCACCTCTTTGGGAACTCTTCACTTTTCCATAACATTTTTATATTGGTTATAACAGTACTAGAAATAATAAGCCAAGAGGTCAAATAATTATTTGGGCTTCTAATATTTTTAAGAGAATAGGTCGATATAACCTATTGTAGTCATTCTCTTGGGGTTTAATTTTGAGTGTGTTCAACCATATATATATATGTATATGTATATATATTCATTTATTTAACTTGAATGTTTTTGAGGAGTAAAATGAGCTATCCCAAGGGGTGGGGAAGTGTGGATTCTAGATACTAGATTTGAATCAAGATAAAGTTACAGTGAAGCACTATATCATTTTGTGTGCTGCTAAACAATGGAAACTTGGGAGATGAAGTTAGACATCTCGGGTACCCAATTATTTTGATTCTGTTTCTCCAGTGCTAGAGAGGAATCCGAAGCCAAATTCTACCATGAAGAGTGGCCTCTAGGCTTTTGCCTATCCCAGTGGATGGTGACGTTAGGTCCATGGTCAGGCAGGTCTTCCCCCTCTAGTCTAATCTACTCTGAGAGTACATAGCTCTATGCTGAGCAAGAGAGGCACAGGTGGGACCCAGCGCTCTGTTGGACATTACTTTTGCTGGCTATGCAAATACGTTTTTGGATTACCCCCTATATTTTCTGCTACTAGTTGTATGAACACTGTCACCTCAAAGTACATGTTCATGCTCCTTTAGAACGAGCATCGCTTGAGAGTAGATGAATCCTTCCCAGAGGTCTTTCAGATTGGACAAGTAACTACACAGGCTCGTGGCTCCACCTGAAGACCCTTTGAATTGCCCAGCAGTTGCGTGGTGTATTGCAGACAGTGGACAGCAGGGCACAGACGGTATCCTAACAACGTCCACACGGGGCACAGGATAAAAGCAGCACACACACAACCTGCCCCGTAGCTATGGTATTGCTGGAGTTCCTCAGGCTGCAGTTTCACTGTCTGGAAGGCTAGATCCTTTGTTGATATATGTGAAATCGCTGGGTGTTGTTCTGCGGTGCTGGGAATGCAACCCAAGGCTTCAGGCAAGAGCAACGAGAACTCTACCACAAGCTGCATCCCCAGCTCCAGGGCTGACCTTCAAGCCTGTATCAGGTATGCCCTCTGACTTTTGAAATCGGTTGTTGTATTAGGAATGAACAATTAACTCCAGTTAGCCACCTTTTCTTGGTCTTCTGCTTTTACACAACCCCTATATAGTAACTAAAAGAGAGTCAATCATCAATGCTTGACTGTCGCGACCACCTCGACCAGCAAGGAAGACGCGACCCGGGAGTCTTCTCAATGCGGTTTATTCAGGAACCTTATCTACAAGCTTCCCTCCCGCTGGCTTCTTCCCGCTTCTCCTCCCCCCCCCCCCCCCCCCCCCCCGCCCCCGCACTCCAGTTATAAGCCTCCTGGATGGCCAATCCTGAAGCGCTACGTGGCATATACCGATAGGGCTGCAAACACGGAAGCAAACTAGGAGCCAAGTCATAGCCATATAAGGAGTTGTTTTTCTTACAGAGAGCACTCGTCACCGGGAAGACGGAAGGCGGGAGCCAGCCCATCTTTGGTCGCAGCCATGCGGCCGCGCCATTTTTGCGGCCGTGCCGTCTTTGGTCGCGGCTCCCGCAGCTCTCCACACTTGACTATCTAAATGTCTGCGATTTTTAATCGGGATTGATTCTTTTGTTGTTGTTGTTCATGAAATATCTGACTGGGTAGAAGGATGAGCTGGTATGGACAGAGGGTCAAGTAGGTAGGGTGATGAAGGACTCAGAGGATGAAGTAAAGTAACTGAAACTTCATTTTGCCTCACTGGGTTTTGCTGTTGTTGATGTTTTGTTTTGTTTTTGTTTTGCTGGTCCTGGAGCTCGATTCCGGGTCTGGGCGCTGGCCCTGAGCCTCTCTGTGCTCCAGGCTAACACTCCTCTACCACTCGAGCCACAGTCCTTCCAGCTTTTTCTGAGTAGTTTCTTAGAGATAAGAGTCTCACAGACTTTCCTGCCTGGGCTGGCTTCGAACTGTGATCCTCAGATCTCAGCCTCCTAAGTAGCTAGGATACCAGGCATGAGCCACTGGTTCCTGGTTTGTTTTTTTTTTTTAATTATCTAGCGGAAAACCTTTAGAAAAATGTTAGACTTAATCCATGAATGTTTCTTAAAAAGCTAGGAAAAATTTTCTCCCAGGAAGCCAGAGGAATAAAGTAGTAGCTTGTAATGAAGAGTGATTGATAATCCCTACAAAATTCCACTAAAAATCTAGCTAATTTCCACTAAAAATTCAACTTATAGGCTATTTATATTTCTTATATTTTCCCCCTGCCTTTCTTATTGTGAAGACAGGACTGTGTCAAGATTTCCTTAGAAAGTAAATAAACAAAACAACAATAAAAGCAGAGTTATTGTCAAACACCAGTGCCTCAGGAAATTAAACTCCTTTGGTCTTTTAACTTCTGATAAAGTTTTCATCATATCATCTCGCTTGAGTTTTAAGTCTGGGGACTTTGGTATCTCTCATCAGTCACATTTATTCTGAGAACAGAAAACCACTCACTGCTGCCCACTGGCCTGAAGATATCTAGCAAGATACTCTGATTAAAGATGAACTCAAGTTCACAGAAGGCAAAGCTCACGTAGCTGATCCTCAGCAGTGAAATGTTACGCTGCAGAATTTCAAGTGTAAATCTTCCCAGGGGAAGAAAATGAAGTGCATCTTAGATAGATTCAGAACCAAATAATCGGATGCTGGATTGAAAGTGCACACTACAGAATACAGAAACCCAGACTTGAAATGCTGGCATCTTTAATAAAGCTATGATAAAAATAACTCCCACTTCAAACTAGTTATTTTAAGTTTTGCACAGGCAAAGAAAAGTCTAGCAAGAATGATGATCATGAGTGACCGTGTCCTTGTTGTACCTTGTGGTCAAATGTCTGGACCTTGGATTGCAGTGAGGGCAGACAGAATCCAGACCTAAGGCAACCTTTTAGTCTCCTCTCCTCTCTTTTTCTTTTCTCATCTTCTTCTCTTCTCCTCCCTGTCCCTCTCTCCCCCTGCTACTGTTTCCATAATGGAGTAGAACTGCCACTCTAAAGATACATCTTAATTTATATTTCAGCAATATTAAAATATTAAAATCACAATCAAGACTAACAATTTAATTCAAAGAAAGAAATGAAACAAAGTACTTAAATATTTGATCCACGATCCAATAATATTTTTCACCATTATTCGGTTACTTTAGATTTCTAGAAGCTCTCTGTTACAATTTACCCACGAGCAAAAGGGATTGACCATGCACCGCTCCCCTCCACCCTGACCCCATAATAACTGCTCACTGTGAAGTTAAGCTAGCGCATCTCTGCTGGGCCATCTGGGGCCTTGGCTGCGGCGCCATGTTGGTGTTGCCATTTTATTATTCATCTGCTATACTTGACTCTGTGGTTTTCCATATCCAGCCCAGTATTTTCTCACACTCTCACAGAGAAGGCCTAAGGCCCTAGAAATGTTTCCAAATGCAGATGCTCAACTGGGCATGGTAGTAGGCACAGTAGAACTTTCCTCTCAGCACTCAGGAGGCTAAGGAAGGAAGATCTTAGTTGGAGGCCAGCCTGAGCTAACTAGATAGACCTTATCTCAAACAAACAAACAAACAAAAACCCAGACAAACAAACAAAAAGCAATGCTTTTTGGACAAAATAGATACTTCATTAGTTCGTTTACTTCTTAGTTGGATATTTAGCGTAAGTCTGTTTCAATCATGAGACTGTTAGACATAATCATGTTAACATAATCATGAGATGATGTTTTGTACACGGTATTAATAGTTAAGTGGGTCTGGAACAAACCAGCCACAACTTTAGAAGTACTTGTTGACTATTACATTGTAATAGCTTGTGTGGACTTCCACCTGTGTTGGCTTTTAAGACACTGCATATTTTGTCATGTGTGGCAGATTAAACAAGTCAAGCCCTTCAGATCTGTCTGCAAATGCATCCTGTGTGCAAATGAAAGCAAATGCATAAAGTTCTCTAAATGTTACTTTCATATCCAATATTCATGAGCAAGATTCCTAACTTGATCACATTTAAATCAACATTGATCTAAATACTGCATAATGAATAATGCAACAGAGAGAATGTAAACATGTCCCTGACATTAGTTTTTGGTCACTGATGCCACAGCATACCACAGCATACAATGGACTCAACAATCAACAAGTACAGTGACAAAAGGGCTAATGTCTGACCACACTAATGCAGATACCTACTTACATTTGAACTTAGGCAATATTTTTTAAAAGAAGAATGATAAAGTAAAACTGCCACAAAATTATCAACAGAAAAATAAAAAACAAAAACAAAGAAAACGTTCATATTTGGGTTGAGATTTTCCTTTAAGCCTTTACAAACTTTATTTCCATTATATTTACACTAGCATTAGATTAGTTGAGTTCTAAGCCAGAACTCTATTTCCCTGCTTTGTGATCAATGAAGGGACATTGGTGAATGTGGTAAATCATCGAGATATGGCTACGTGTGCTATAAGGCAGATCATCATTGTGAACACAGTTGATTTTCCCTTGCTTTTTCAAGTCTCAGTGCTCAGGGTCTTACAGAGCGGAATGATGTGTCTAATTGTGGAGGGAGCCTTGGACATTGGATTCCCAATGTCTTTCATGGATATTTCCCATAATTGTGTGTAGAGACTGGAGCACTCAATGCATGTGTCTGAGTGTCTAGGGGGCCACTCACAAGTGTAATGTGTGTGTGTGTGTGTGTCTGTGTGTGTGTGTGTGTGCACTGCCTATGTGCATGCATGGTCACCTTCTACTTGAGCGAGGGCAGAATCTGGATTTGAATAAAACGAGTATTACAACACCTTTGACACACTTAGCTAACTCAAGCTCACTTAGTCTCTTCCCCCAAAGAAGTTTGGGGCTCTAGACTCCTAGATTTTGCCAGAGGCCAAACTCCACCTCCATAACACTGAGTTGTATGAGATGTATTTAAATACTGAAGACGTTCTTTACATGTTATGAAATGATTGACTTTGGTCCAAGATCAAGGATCACCTTGCAGAGTTCCTTACCCTTGGCTTCTCTTCTTCCTCCTGCCCTGCCCAGCCTCACACTGCAGCATTCAAGCAGATTTCCACACATCCCTTAAACCTTTGTTTAATCATCAAGCCAGGTAGGTGCAGGTGTGGCATGACAGAGCTCTATTTGTGCTTGGAATTCTATGCAGTTCCTTCCTGGGAAAAGGCAGACATCTTTGTGAACAGGGAAGAATTAAAAGAGCTGGAAGAAATATTGGCCAGGCAACCAAGAAGGGAAAGTCATGGGCAGTGAGCATGGGACCCTGAAGACACTTCAGCTGTCTACACATCGCCATGATCTTCCAAGGTGCAGATGTTGGGTCTGTGAGGTGGGATGAGACCTGCTGAACAATGTCCCCAGCCAGCTCCCGGAAAGGCCCTCACTCCCGCATCCCACAGCCAGTGGAAGCCGCTAGAACGCTGGAGTAGTGCCAGGATTTGGAGCCATCACCCTGCCGCTCCCAGGTCCATGTTTCACGCCATACGATTTGTCTATGGAAGAAAGGCGATGGGAATGACCATAGGTTGTCAAGGCTCAGTGCCCCTGCCCGGCTCTTCTCGGGAATGACTAGCTACAATGATAAGTGTCGTTACGTGTAACATCTTCTCTGCCTGAATCACAAGAATATGTCTGAAAGCCTTGCTCCAAATGAAAACCGAGACACACGGCCATCATCAGACATGAACACCTTTGATACCTGGGTCAAATAAATACTTTCTTGTAGAAAATACTTCCTTGCATAGAAATGCATTTCTTCTCGATTTCAGCACAGCTCCGTATCTGTCTACCCAGCAGGACATCATTTTCCTCATCCTACAACCGCTGCCTTGACTTGCAGCTCCACTTTCAAAAATGGGGAATTTTAAGAGTTCTTTGAAGGAAGCCCCTCAAATACGCAAAAGCCAAGTCAGCCCCCGGATCGCTGTGTCCAGGCTTCAGTTTTATACGCATGCAGCCACGTGTTTTTCATGCTCACCACAGCCATGGTGTTGGATGGTAACCTGACGTGGCCCAGCCGTACAGCAAGCCGAGGTGCACCCCACACCCCCGAAGTCACACATTGCTTTGCTGCAACAAAAGCGTTCGCAGTTCGCGGTCCCGCTGGTCCTCCTGCCTGTATTTCTCTTCGAGTTTCTGCTTCTCCGCATCTGCACAGTAAAAGGTGCAATCTGGGCTCTTCCGGATCTGCTCGAACTGACTGAAGTCGGCCACGTACTTGCCATTTTTGGAGAGAGAAACCACGGGTACGAATTCGAAGCCCCAGTAGATTTCTTCCGGGATGTACGACGTGCGGCTCTGGCAGACGGCGCTGGTGGACTCGACGGTGGCATTGAGGAGGACCACCAGCTCGAATTCCTTCTCCTTTAGGTTTTGGGGTGTCAGGTCCCTCAGGGGGCTGCTCTCATCCAGCACGTGGTAGAAGGTCATGGGCAGGATGAGGAACGGGCTCTCGGAAGAGGAGTCCACGTGGAACTTGACGGAGGCTTGGTTGAGGAGAATGCGCTCGCCCTCCTTGGTGACGTGGGTCTGGAGGAGCTTGCCTGACAGCTGGCACTGGATCAGAAGGCTCTTCCTCATGTTGGCCACCTGGATCACCAAGCACAGCTTGCCGTTCTGCTTGGTGATGACCGCACAGTGGCTGAACTTGATGGTCTCCGCCCGCTTCTTGGGTCTGGCGATTTTGGCCAGGAAGGTGCCGGTGATGAAGATTTCAATCAGGGTGGTGATGACCAGCTGGGCCACCAACAGGAAGATGGCGTGGGGGCACTCCTCGGTGATGGAGCGGACCCCATAGCCGATGGTTGTCTGGGATTCCAGGGAGAAGAGGAAGGCCCCCGTGAGTGAGTCTACCTTCATGATGCAGGGGGTGTGGTTAGAAACGGGCTCGCTGGGCTCCAGATCCCCGTGGATGAACGCAATGGCGTAGTAGATCACCCCGAAGAGGAACCAGGTCATCACGAACGTGGCGGCGAACAGAGTGAGCTTGTACCTCCACTTCATGTCGATCACTGTGGTCCACAGGTCCTGCAGGTACAGCAAGTAGATGCCGTCCACCTTGTCGATTCTCACGTTGCTATGCCCACTCTTGGACATCACTCGGGGTCTCTGGGCCTTGAGCCCAGGGCCAGCCGGGTGCTTCATGAGAGGGGTGCTGGACATGCTCATGTGAATGGCGTCCATTGTCATGTTCTTGAGACCACCTAAGGAGAGAGCCAGGAAGGACGCGGCGTTAGTGTCATGTGTGGACAGCCAGCAGGAAAACAAGAGAGGGACGGTCCTGTGAAGCAAATCTGAATGGATAGTGGTCCCTGGGGATCTGACAGGGACTGGCCAGTTCCAGGGCCTTCTGTGGACACAAAACTGTGCAATGCACTAAGATCTTCTATACAGTGGTGCAGCATTTGCACATGAGCTAAATACATCCCTCCCTGTACCTTAGACCATCTCTCGCTGGCTTCTGTCACTTAGGACAGAGTGAACCGTTGATTGTACTATTTGGTGTAGGGACCAAAGATAAGGAAAACATCTTCATGTGTTCAGTGCAGGTGCAAGTTCTCCCCTCATGCTTTGAATCCATCACTGTTTGAATACAAAGATAGTTGGCCTGAAAATACAGAGGCCAACTACACATGGCCAGAAAGCAGAACTGTGAAGGTAGGTCTTGCTGATGTGTACCTGCAGAAGTCAGAGGGGAGAAATAAGGAGCATGGGCTGGGAAAAAACCAAACCAAACCAAAACAGTCTCTGTGATCACTGAGCTGTGTGATCTACCACAGGCTACTTAACCTCTCTGGATCTTAGCTCCTCAGTCTTTAAATTGAGAATGTCTCACTTCTCAGAGTTTCCTTGATGGCTAAGAGTTAAAATGCCTCTGCAGAGCCTTTTACACACACACACACACACACACACACACACACACACACACACACACACCTAACCATGTATACCGTTATGCAAATATCTCACAAATGCTATTCATATTTTATTTATATTCAGCTATTATAATTTCCCACTACAGAAACTTTTAAAAAATATATCTGCGACCAAGCAGCTCAGGTCCAAAGCTGACATAATTAAGACCTACCATCCACAAGACAGTTCTTAGATAGCAATGGAGGATGTTAGTATAAATCTTCGAAGTTCAATAGAATGAGTAAAGTTTTAGGACTGCCATTTGCATCATATTCTCTCTAACCATTTACTTTTTGCTCCAATCGAATGCATAATTTAGTGTCTATGACCTCTCTTCATTCCTGAGGACAGCGGGGAAAAATTCAATTATCAAACCACCCAAACCACACTGAGAGCATGGAATTAAGCTTCCTTAATGGCTTGACTGCCCCACTGGTTATTCCTAGGAAATTGCTACCAATGCCACTTCAGGTGTGACATTTAGCGCTTCCACAAACATCCTCTGTAGATGAGGGGAGAAGTCATACAAGGGAGGTTTATCTGAGAGAGCAAATGGAAAGGCCAGCAAGGAAGGACAGGCATCTAACACTGAGCAATGAAAACTTACCAAGCAATCGCACTGGGTTCTTGCTCAGCCCAGGAGGCCACAGCCAGAACAAGCTGCCTGGGACCCCCGACCCCCCACACCCAGCCTGACCCAGCGCCCGCCTGGTGATGGAGGCGGATGCCCTGCATTCCTCGCAAGAGGTGTTGGGGGTGATGATGGAGGATGCTCGCCTGGCCGGCATGGTTTTTATTTTCTCAGCTCACTGGTATTGGAAGACTTTTAAAAAAGTGAATACACAGTGATTTATGATTCACATAATCATCTTTTCTGTTTCAGGGGCATTATGTCAATAAAGCTTTGGAGCAAATCCTCTAGCCAGCTCCCTTCAAGGGAGCGACACTGAGAACCCGTTCGAGGCGTTGGGCGCGCGGGCGCGGCCACGTCACCAAGGAACTGCTCCCTGCAAGGGACTCTTCTCTTTTTTCTTGGAAAGACTTTTTTTTTTTTTAAATTTTCATCCTAAGGAAGGGTTGTGTGTTTCTCAGAAGTTCTTGGACTTCTAGAAGTTCGTCCCTGGAGGAGACGGCGGGGTGGAGCAGGGGGCAGCACTCGGCCGTGCTGCGGGGGCTGCTTCTCGGCATGGGGAGGCGGAGGGCAGCCGTAGCGAAGGGAAGACCATGCCAGGCTGGCTCCCCCAGCGCCCAGACAGGCTGTCAACGCGAGCTCCGCCAAAGACACATGGAGCTACAGTACAAGTCACCATCTGTACGTTATTTATTTTTCTAAAAAAAAAAAAAAACCAACATGCCAGGGGAAGTAGATGTGATAAACCACTGCGGTACAAACAAACCGCAGGGTTCAGGCGTGATGATACTCAAACGCCTCCCCCACCCCTCACCGTCCCCAGGTCCGTCCTCTGCAGAGTCTGGAAACCTGGGCCTCTGTTCTAAGAAGTCACCCTCTCCTTCCAGTCAGGCGTGGGACAAGCTGCCTGCTCAACTCTCTGCTGACTTCTGACTGGCCGCAGACCCCAGCTCGGGGCGAGGGTGTGGGGCCACACCAGGGTTGGGTGACACAAGTCACCCAATGACATCGACAGCTCTGCATGAGACAGCAGGTGTCCGCCAGCCCCTCCGGCCTCCTCTTCCCCGTGGCCTCAGAACCCTTTACTACCTGGTCACTCACCCGAGGGCAGGGACAGGAGTCTTCCTCAGTGCAGGGGGGGGGGGGATCACGTCCTGGCTCTGCTTCACCCACCTGGCTACCCCAGGACTCTGCTCCTGCCTGGAGGAGCGCGACGCGTGCTGCTCACAGGTGGCGTGAGCACCCTCGGCACCGGCCCCTGGCGGTTCCCTAAGGGCTAAGGCGGTGGCATTTACCTTTGGCCTGGCCATCTGGCACGGTGCCCAGAGCAGGAGAACGGCTCAGTGTGTCCAAGAATGAAACCGAAGCCACCAGCATGGCCCTCACCAAGAATCCAGCCCCTGGAGGGAGCTCACTGGCAAAAGCCTGGCGGGGGGTGGGGGGAGGGAAGGTGAACACGTCCCACAGAGGCCAGGCGGTTTCAATGAACTGAGCTGCACAGGAGGCCGGAAGGGGAAGCGCAGAGGACGTAAACAGTGAGCATCGGAAGCGAAGGGTCCAGAATAGTTCTACCGCCTGTGGAAATGCTTGGCTCCTGTTGAGTCATCGCACGGCGTGGAGAAGGCTGTGGGACCCGGCCCCTGACAGACACACGCCTGCTGCACAGGGCACACACCGAGTCCTCGCAGCCGGGCAGGGACCCCACTGGCTCCCTCCACCTGAAGAGGCTGTGGGTGCTAGATACTGGCTCATGTCAACACCCACAAAACCTCCAAGTGTCAGGTCGCCTGGTCTAAATGCAAGAGGCGCTTTGGCATGACATTCTTCTAAGATACTTCTCTGTGTGTGTAATTTATCAATTTTCTGTTACTTATCGATCTATTATCTATCCACCTCTATCATCTATAAACTTGCCTTTTTATCTATGATAAATCAAATATCTATCACCTATCTATCTATCTATCTATCTATCTATCTATCTATCTATCTATCTATCTATCTATCTATCTTCTAGCTATGTATCTATCATCTATCTATCTATGTGTTTGGAAGAATCTATCATCTATCCAGCTATTTATCTATCATCTTTCTCTATCATATATCACTTATCAGTGATTTATTGCCACACTGTCTCGATTCAAGTCCAAATATACTCCATATCTTGGGGCTCTATCATATTTTCAGGGTAATCGCTACTGCAGAGTTAACATATTCCTAGTGATAAAGGGGGAGCCGCCCCGACTCTCTGGCCGTCAGCCCAGTCCCCACTGCTATATCAAAGCCAGGAACCTGCCTGCCATCCCTCGCTTTATTCGTCTGTTTCACTGGTTTTTACATCCATTCTGTGAATTCACAGTGATCTTAGTGCACCATACTGTATTCTTCAGCAGTCTTTTTTGAAGAAGGCTTGGTTTTTGTTGATCAACACTCCAATTTTATATATCATCATGTTACTGCTTTCGATTTTTTTTTCCCCAACGAACCTACAGTCCTGATGGCTTACTGTCTAAAAGTTAAAGACGGGAAAGTTAACCTCTTCTCATTTTGTCTCTTCTAAATTCTCCAGATAAGCAGTATTCCATAGGATCCACACGCAGTTTTCTTTAGTTGCTGGAATGAATATTCAGTTCTCCAGTTTGGGTAATGTTGTTTTCCATTCTGGGTTGCGATTGTAATTCTCAGAATGGCAATATCTTCACCAAAGCTTTGAACCGGCTAAGGCAAGGTCAGTAGGACCCTGGCCTACTTTCAAGCCAGTAAATGATGCATGTGTGGAGTGGCTTAGCACCTATGCATTGGTTTTCTGGAGATAATGGAAAGAAAACACACATCTTTTAACTGGGACTAAGACTATGCACATTGCATAGGGCTCTAGTCTACTTGGAGGTTGGTGGAAGAGCTGCATGAAAGGTGTTGGAGAGGAAACAATGAGAATGGGGAAATGGAAAAGGCATTCCCTTCGTCCCCATCATATTCTGTCAAGGAGAGAGGCTGTCCTAAGAGTTGAATTGAGGATCAAGCAAACCAAACACAGCATGACGGCTGGACAGAGGAGCTCAGGATCTGCCGGGCAGGACACTGGCAAGGTCTGGGGCTTCTCATTCATCCTGTTGTCCCAGGTGGAGTGGGAGGCATTTCCAGTTGACACTGTTACGTCTACGCTGAGTCCATGGCATCGATGCTGATCTGTGGTCCCGTTCCCTCTCTTCCCCTCCAAATCCTGAAGTCAGGCTATTGCTCAGGCCTCATGACACCTGCCACCACCTGCAGGAATATGAGCTGCATGCCTGGATGTCTCCTACTGATATCCAAGGCCAGTCATAGTGCCTGAACTCAAGGCCTGGGCGCTGTCCCTGAGCTCTTTTGCTCAAGGCTAGCACTCTACCACTTTGAGCCAGAGCACCACTTCAGGTTTATGAGTGGTTAACTGGAGCTAAGAGTCTCACAGTGACTTTTCTTCCCCAGCTAGCTTTGAACTGAGATCATCAGATCTCAGCCTCCTGAGTAACTAGGATTACAGGCATGAGTCATAGTGCCCAGTGGATTATTTTTAAAAGCAGGGTTAAAATCTGATGATAACTATAATATCTATTATTTAAATTTCATATAAAGAGGTTATGGAATGTATAAATACCAGGGCTTGTCAAATGTACACTA